TTAGAATCAGAATAAGGGGACATCAATTTCTGCTTCTAACTTCATCATTATGAGAGACTGCTAGTGAGGATGACAGGTGGCTTTAACATTTTGAGTTTATTACTAATAAAATCGACACATGATTGGTGAGATGAGATACACATATTCAAAGTCACCCATCCAGAGAATGGCGTCTAAGCTGGAGCCAGGCTTGAATGTACCAGATCGGTTGTATTAATACAATCTAAGGAAGGATGGCCCTATTGTAGGAAAGGGGCAGCGAAAGCAACAGGGATCCAAGTATGCCGGGAGAGGCCGTCCCTGTGTAGGGAGTGAGCCACTCAGGCTGGGGGCGGTGGGGCGGTGGGTGTCTACACAGGGTCTCCTGGATGAAACAATGAGATTATCCACTGTGCTTTGCTCCACTTTCAGACTCACGTAGAAAACTTCAGATAATTAATTGGATTTTCCTGCTATGTCAATGTCTGAAATGAAGGTGCCCTGGATGGAGCATATTGCTTGCTTGCTTGATCAATTCATTCATTCCTTCAACAAATATTTATGGAGTGTCTACTCTCTGCCAGGCACTGTTCTGTGCCTTGAGGATGTGCAAATGAACCAAAACAGAGCCAGTCTCTGTTTTCAGACAGCACAAATCCTGGTTGGAGACAATTAACACCAAGTACGTCTGGTAAGTATTATGGTGAAAAAAAATCAAGCAGGGAAGGAATGAGGGAATGCTCCTGCTGGGCCTGCTAATTGAGACGTGGAGCTTTAAAGGTCTCAGTGATAAGCTGAATGAGCAGAGATAAGGGAGGAGGCACATGCCTGTCGGAGGGAGGAGCCTGGAAGCGGAAGTGCCTGGTGGGTCTGAGGATGGCCTGGGTGGTTAGAGTAGGTGAGGTAGGGAGCAAGAGAAGGAGGGCAGGGACCCCGGCAGCCACATTGTGACTTGAGCCTTCTGGCTGGGAAAGGGTATTCCTCTCCCTGGGGATATCACGATTTAGGAATTTCTTATCTGATTTATACCTCTGCCTCCTTTGAGCTTGGCTAGAGTGAGTCCATCTTTATGAGCCTCAACCATTCTTCAGTCTTCGGTATTTAACTTTCTGAAACTAAAATGTTGAGGATCTGATTCAGAAACTTGGGGACTACTTCAGGGGAGTGCTCTCTGGGTGACACCAACAAGGACTCTGAAACTTGTTATCATCCAATGTATTGCCAAGAGATGTTTGAGAAGTGAGCGCCACACTATACAGTGTAAAAAGTCACAACTATTCTTTACTTAATGGGCACTTTACGAACACACAGCTATCCGGGGTTGTGTGTCGTACAGGTGGAGGGAGAGATACCACAGACATGGAATTGTTTACAGTAAAGTTCACGTTATTCTTTTGGACTTTGGAGTGAGACAGATCTAGGCTGAGGTCACAGAATTGACACTTACTAGCTGTGGAACCTTAAGAACGTTATTTATGTTTATGATCTTTATGTTATCTGTGAGTTTGTTTTCTCTACCTCAAGGACGATGGCTGTAAGAATTAAATAAGACAAAAAGAGTGGTTACAAGGATTCAATGAAATAAAGTGCCGGGTGGCCAAGTTTTGATGCTAAGTAACGTTAGTTTCCTTTCTCATTTCTTTACTTCTCTATTTCTTCTTGGGACCACATAATTCAGAATTGCTGCCCACACTGAATGATACTGAAACCTTAATTAATCATTCATTCTGGCACTGCGGATGTCCAACAGTGCTCTCCAAGAGGGCGTCCTGGGTTGTTGTGGCAGAGGCTCCGCAATCACTATTCCATTCCTCCCCACCTCCTACAGGCTGGGAGGGGACATGAAATAATAGATGGAGAGACCTGATGCCGTGCTTGGCCACTGATCATCCTCACCAAATGTTCATTGTTATGGTTTTTGTTCTGTAGTTTTAGGGAAATTTTTATGGGATTGTATGCATATATTTTAAACCATGCCAAAGTAAGAAGTAAAACAAAACAAGACACTATGTGAGTGACAGTGGCTTATTTTACTGATAAGAGTAAATTAAGATGGGTTTTCTATCCTTGGGTCTGATTATTGGACATAAATTGAATGTCAATTTGGTGCTAAAATGGTCAGTTCTATGTGTCAGCTTGGACAGACTATTCAGTTGTTCAATTTAGCTCCAACTTAGTAGTTACTGTTGAAGGTATTTTGTAGATGTGGTTGACATCTGCCATTAGTTGACTTTAAAATAAAGATTATCCTCAATAATGGTGGTGGGTCTCATCCAATCAGTTGCATGACCTTAAGAGCAAAGCTGAGGCTTCCTTAGGAAGGAGGAATCCTGCCTAAATTAGCATTAGCTGAATTCCCAGAGGGAAAGCCTATGCTTCAAAGTTTGGACTTGCCAGCCCCTATAGCTTTATCAGCCAATTCCTTAAAATCTCTCTCTCTCTCTCTCTCTCTCTTCTACTGGTTCTGTTTCTGTGTCTCTGGAGAATGCTGATACAAGTATATCTGAAAGCTTATTTATTATTTTTCTTTTGTCAATAAATCTTTATGATACTTGTTTGCACAAAGCTATTTTACTGAAATGAAACTTGAACAGCTCCAAGCTGCATAATCAATTTCTTTTAGCTTCATGACAGTATCTTCTTGGTCCAGGTCAGGCAACCTGACCCCAGGTGGGCTGTTCATTTCTGCACTGGTGGTGACGGGCATGGCCTAACTCTTGAAGTTCATGGGGAATACATATCACCTAGGTTTTAGGTGAACCATAGAATGAACATGAATGCCAAGTGGATAATTTGCCTCTAAAACTACAGATGTATTAAAAAGTTACAGAGTTACAACTTGTTGGCTGGCTAATAATCTCTAGGTATAAACTCAAAGCACAACTAAGATATAAAATCTTTGTTGTCGACGTGGACATATATTTGTGTGGTTATGGCAGCATAACAATTTCTAGAATGATTACATAGGATGACAAATTACCATGAGAAGGGATTTGACTGAGAGTGTAAATCTGCTTTCATTTTTGCTAGTCTGTCCATAATCATACAGAAATAAACCCCTGGCAAAAAGGGAGACAAAAACTATGACATCAGCTGAATTTAGTGTCACTCACTGCTCTGAGCTAAAAATCAGAGTGGGCTCTAACTTTGGGTTTCTTGCTTCCAGGCTACTTTCCTCCCACTTTATTCCTTTTCTTCCTTGTAAAACCTTTCTCACAGCACTGTCAGAATTTGAATAAAAATATCTTTGATCTCATTTCTGATTTACCCTTTTGTTTTTTGCTGTTTATCTCATCACATGCACTTTTTAGTCAAAATCTTCTAACCTTGTACAAAGTGCTTATCAGATACGTAATACCTTAACTTAATCATGTTTCCACTAGAGTTATCCACCAGGAGCATCAACTAGTAATATCCTTATAAGAACTAGCTTCCCTTAGAGCAGTGATTTTTAACGAGTGCGCCAAGAAAATTTTTGAAGATCAATAATTAAATTATTTCCAAACAAAGTTCAAAGCACCGTAAGTATATTCTTTTTTTTCACTGTTAGTTTTTTTCTTTTTGGATCAACATAATTTAAGTGTGCCGTGCAAGTTTAACTACAGGTTCAAGGGTGATTGCGATAAAAAAGGTTGAAAAATGTTGCTTTAGACAGATCAGAAAGGCATCAGTGAATGAGATAACCAGACCCTCCCAGCAATAGTTAATGGCCAGGATGGAAGGCCTTTAGGATGGCGACAACCTATACTGTGCACACAACCAAAGATTGAGCCAGGTGGGGTATCTGGCCGTACATAGCAGAGCTGTGGAAAATTAAACTGTGACCTCCATAAACCTCTACCTTCCACATCACCGTTTTCTAATTCTTAGAATGCTCTGTGTTTGCAGAATTACTTTCCAATTGTCAGGTTGTCCTTCTGCCTGTCTCTGCCATCTTCAGTCGGCCTCCCTTCACTTCTTTCTCACCTAATTTCTATCCTCTGTTCTTCACGGTCGTTCCTCTCATTTACCTTCTTTTCGCTCCTCCTGTGAACTTCTTGTCTTTCTCTTGCCTCCCCCCATTTCCATTTTTACTTCTTTCTCTTCACCTATTTTTTAAAATTTCTTTTCCCCGTTCTTAATTCTTTTTTCTCTCCCACTGATCTGTTATGGCTTTAATCATTGCTGAGGTGCTTAAAATCCCCCGGAGACTGACATTTTCTCACTGAAAGGGAGGGATTTGTGATTGTGGAAAACGAGCTACAAAGACCCTACACATTCAATTTACACCACCGTTCTTTCCTTTCTTTCCCGGGGCTTTTGCTTGGGATTAGAGACGGGCTGCTTGCTGGAACTCACAATGGCAAAGCACTTCAGGCCTGACTTCTCGACCCTGCAAGTCACATGACAAGGCACAGCTGAAGTACTGTTCCCAGTGATTGCTAGAATTTAAGCTTGCCCTTCACCAGAAAACACTTACTCAAATCTGCCCGGAAAACAGAGCAAAGTGCTATTTTATCATGAACTCTGATGAACAAGACTCATTCTCCTCAGCCTGTTCATTCTTGTCCTTTGCCCCCAACCCTTCCTTTTTTTACAGCCTGAAAAGAAGCGTGAAAATGGGTTTTTGGGAGAAGGGTGGGGGAACTTTGGGTCGCCCTGGCCAAAGGCTGCTGAGACTCTTTAAACAACATCCTTAGTCAAGCAGGTATGTTTGGCCAACTTAACCAAAAATGCTTTACAAAAGGAAGAACAGTAAAATAAACCAATTCTACAGGACCGTATGATTTTATCATCTGGAATTTAGAAAATATTGGATGGCCGTGAAAAACCAAATACATTTGACTCAGAGATTTCACTTTAGCATGGACTACCCACATTTTCACTTTATGAAATGATTCATTTTTGTAAGTTTGGCTGTAAAGTTCACTTTACCTTTCTGCATTTCTTGAAGAGTAGGAGTGCACACTTCAATGATTAAGCACTTAAAGCAATTCTCTGCCGGCAGCAGGATCTGTGAGGTCATCCTTATTAAAGGATACTTATGGTCAAAGCCGTACCACATTCTGAAGAGCCGAGCGCTGTCTGTTTTTTTTGTGCCTTTATCCGAGTTATTTGCTCCCTGGAGAAAGATAATAGAAAAAGGCATTGGATAAATAGTCAAACACATTTTAATATAAAAATACATGTCAAACCAAATTAAATCCCCTTTAAAAAAACCTTCCAAAGCACAAACATTTTCATCTAAATAGTGCAGCAGTTGCCAAGCAAATTAGCTCATAGATCTTGCACTGTGGCTGAGCGTCTTCTGGCATAATTCAACATTTACTTTTCTTAATAATCCCAATTTTATTAAACAGCTAAGAAAAGCCACTTTTTGATATCAATAAAAATGATATTTCTGTAAGATTGCCGTTGGGGGAATTTTGCAGTTTATTTCTGACAAATTTGGGTGATATTTGTTTATGGATTACTGAAAGGTCAAGGCCGAAGAGATAATATTCTAATAATTGTTACAATAATTTTTACTCATTTTCTTTTTGACAGATTTCAACCAAGAGCTATGGTTGACTTTTTGATATCTTTCTGCTTAGATTATGAAGAGTTTTGAAATAGATGTTTCTGGAAAGACTTTAATAACTGAATGAGCTTGTCTCATTTCTTTTTTTTTCCCAGAAGGATCACAAAGGGAGAGAAAAAAGAAAGAGAAGGTGGAGAATTTTTTTTTTGAGACAGAGTCTCACTCAGTTGCCCTGGCTAGAGTATCATGGCATCATAACTCGCAGCAACCTCAAACTCTTGGGCTCAAGTGATCCTCTTGAGTTAGCTTCCTGAGTAGCTGGGACTACAAGTGCCCACCACAATGACCAGCTGGTTTTCTATTTTTAGTATAGATGGCGTCTTGCTTTGCTCTGGTTGTTCTGAGCTCAGGTAATCTACCTGCCTCTGCCTCCCAGAGTGCTGGGATCATGGGTGTGAGCCACTGTGCCCGGCCAAGGTGAAAAATCTTTGTGAATTTTAGAGATGGATAATAAAATTTACAGAGTGGTAAGAAGGATATTCATTGGCAGGCTTTTTTTTCTTCTGTGTATTCCTTTTTGCATATTAAGAAAAGAGGATTCCAATCCTTTGTAATTATCTACATTATTAAAAACGTTTATATCTTAATGTGGACTTTATTATTTCTTCTGGACCCCACAGTTTCAATCCCCAAATTATATCATGAGTTTGAAGTCCAGTAATAATACAGATATTCTTCTGAGGATATGATAATGGATGGAAGATGATGGAAATCCACTGGCTGCTCCCAACCCAACCCTTAAATGAGCCCAAGTTGATTTGCTTTCATTTTATTTATATTTGCACCTGCTGCAGACAGTTCTTTTATTGGTAAATGATAAATTGCTGGCCACAAAAGGCTGTAGTCTGCCCTTTGAAACATAAATGTACTAGAAGATGCTCCAGTTCTGTTCTTCACAAATGAAATGGGAATACAAGATAGTAAAATGTGGTTCCTTTTCAGTAAGCCATTTATCTTTAGTTTAAGATGGTAGAAGCAGAGACAATGAAATTCAAATGCAAAGTTCTCATTGCCCTTCTCACCAGTTGTCTGAAGATCTCTGATTTTCAAACCTTGTACAGTTTTCCCAAGTGTTTCTAGTGTGCAACTGTTCAGATGATGTGGATGGAAACTTTGTGTCAACCACTCAGGGAAGGACAGGTTTAACATTACTAAGTAGGTTTCTTAAATGTAGGCCTTCCCGGAGTCTTTAATTTAAAAATGAGCCATGGGCAGTGCCTGTGGCTCAAAGGAGTAGGGCGCTGGCCCCATATGCTGGAGGTGGTGGGTTCAAACCCAGCCCTGGCCAAAAAGCGCAATAATAATAATAATGATAATAATAATAATATAAAAATGAGCATTGCAAATCTTCGAGGGGCAAGTGTCTGTCAATGTTACTTGGCCATGGAATCTATTCCCATTCCCAATCTCTACCATGGGACACTGATTATCTTTTCATAGACATTAGAGTTCCATAGGTCTCTATTTTCTTATAGGCCGGAACACCAGGCCTTGTTATCTAGAGTCAGAATTTACTTGTATTTCCTCAAGAAAGGAAACCAAGGTGTCTGGTTCAATTCCCACCCTTCCCCGCACCATTCTCTAACCATTTCTACCCCGGCTAAAGGTGTTAGATTTGCAACACCACGGTACATAGCCTATTCTTTATTATTTTGTGACATTTGCAAGTTGTTTCTGAGGCCTGGTCCCCCAACAGTACTGGCAGAGCAAAACTGCTCGTGTTGAACCGAACTAGTTAGAAAAAGCTCTGAGCTAATGGTGGGGACTTTCTTCTCCTTTCCCCCCTCTTTTCCTTTCATCAAAAACAATAAAGACTTACAGCTTTTTATCTATCAATGGACATAGGTCATTTTTGACGGCTGATAGCGGACTAGATAGCCATTGAAGAAAATTGATAGAAAGTTAAATTCATAGACATATATGTATATGTATATCTCTCTCTATATATTTTTTGAGACAGAGTCTCACTCTGTTACCCTGGGCAGAGTGTGTCATGGCATCATAGCTCACAGCAACCTCAAACTCTTGGTCTCAAACAATCCTCTTGCCTCAGCCTCCTGAGTAGCTGGTCTACTGGTACCTGCCACCGTGTCCAGGTAGCTTTTCTATTTTTTTTTTTAGTACAGACAGGGTCTTGCTCTTGCTCAGGCTGGTCTTGAACTCCTGAGTTCAAGCAATCTACCTGCCTCAGCCTCCCAGAGCACTAGGATTACAGGTGTGAGCCACCGCGCCTGGCTTTCCTTGTTTTTTAAGTAAACATGGGCAGTATAGTAGTGAGCTCTGCTGGCAGTCAGGGGCCCACGATTCTACTGCACACTTTGCAGCAGCCCACCTGAATGATGTTTGCGGTAATGACTGTCCCCAGCTATCGAATGCTCATTAACTCCTAGATAGCAGGCTAGTCACATTATCCAGTCATTAATTTTTCCAGTCATTATTTTTCAATTCTTGCAATAATCCATCAAAGTAGGTTGGATTCTACCTATTTTGCACATGAGGGCATACAGAGAGGCCCAGAAGAGGAAAGAAATGAGTTCAAAGTCACACAACTAGCAGGTAACAGAGTTGGAATTTGAGTCTAGAACTGGTGGACTTCAAACAGGGTTTTTTTTTCCTGCAAGTATCTCACTAAGCCTTTAATGAAAGCCCAGACATTCTATAATAGGTTACCTGATCTCATGGGGCTTCAGTATCCTTGTTTGTAAAATGAATCGAGGAAATTAAACTGGCTCTTCTTCTAAGGTCTTAATCATATGAAAGATACTATGTTTTTATTAATGACAACAACAATAACAGCTAAATTTCTTCAACACTTACCGTGTATCAGATTCTACTCTAAGTTCTTTTTATACATTAACTCTTTAGATTCTTGTAACTGAAGTAGGTTTCACAGATGAGGAAACTGAGGCAAGGAGAGGATTCCAAGCACACTGTGGACCCTCAGTAGCCAAGGTTCTTCCCATCTCGGTGGGGCACCAGGGTGTAAGTTTGGAGTAAACTGAGGCAAGAGTATGTGAACAGAGAAGTGAGGTCAGGATAATGGGATGCTCGTGGAGGCTGAGATAGAGCAGCCACATATACCCTGAAACAAAATGGAAACGTGTGGCTCCCCTCAGCTGGGTGAAAAGCTTTGAAACTGTCCTTCCAGAAACTTAACTTGAGTCTTACGAGTATCTTTAGACTCCTAGACACTGGCTTCAAGGGTTTCCCAAGTCTTAGAAATCATCCCTGCCTTTCTTTTTTCTTTCTCTCTCTTTTAAATCTTATTTTATTTCCCAAGGGGAATATACTGGAACTCACGATATGAGCACTCTTCCAAAAATCTATACTTTATTTTTGGCAAAACTTCTAGGGGTATTTTTTGTCAGCTGATGGAAGCAAGTCACCTTAGGTAGCATTTTGGAAAAAGCTATTAGCATGTAATCTCTGTTTAAATTTTTTTCTTTTAATTGAGTGACTGGCGATGTTATTTATTATGCTACTTTGTAGAGAAATAAACAGGATTTCAGTAAGAAGAAAATATTTGTGGCATATATTTTCACAGGTGGGGAAATACCACTGATGACCGGGCATTGACTTCTCTGCTGATCCTAGATAAAATTTTCAGAATGTGTCTTAAACATCGTTGGCCCAGTTCTGGATCCATTCGCTTATTTCTCTGAAGTTATTGATGACTTAATAACTTGGTTATGAAAGGCCATCAATAAATGAGTAGAAATAAATGAGTTAGTCTAGTGTGCACTCTGCTTGTGCACTGGGGGTTGAAGATAAATGTGCTCAGGGAAGGCCGGCCTTTGCAGTCACCCTGCAACAGGGAAGGTATCTGATGAGGCAGCACAAAGAGCCAGCCCCTGGGAGGGTCCAGATGGGCAGAGGACAGCAGGTGGCATCGATCCATCTAGATTATTCTGTAGTACAGATCAGCTCACACCTCAAGGACAATGGGTAAGGACAGTCATCAGAAGTAGAGTCTGGAACTTGGTGGTGTTTTTTATCATCACTAGCAATATAATTTCTCTTTCTAGTTTCTATTCCAGAGGGTAAGTGGTGTGCATGTTGGAACAAGCACAGGAGCCAGAAACTGAAGACCAAGATTTTGAGTTTGTCCTTTCTCTGTGTAGTAATAACAATACATTCACCAACTCTGATTCTCATGTTTCACAGCTGCAAATGGGATCTGGCAATTCGAGTGTGTTGAATCTCAACTTTTGTTTGCTTAGGTACTTCCTGTAAGAAGCAGAGTGCTTGATATATGAGGGTTTTCTGGCTGTTTGAATGATTTCTGTTTGGGGGACAATTTTAAAATAACTGGTGTATTTGATATTTTTATTTTTTTCTCCTTAAACAAGAGAATAGACCAGAAGTTGGGGAAGTGACTGAGAACAGTGGGAAGTGGGTACTTTTCTTTCAAATGATTCCCTAATACTTAACCCTCCCAGAGAGGGAGCAACAGGAGAATTATAATAGTACTTATCTGTTTGGGGCTTATTTGAACCCCTGAGAGAAAACAAAAATGAAAAAGCTCCGGTGAGAAATCCACA